GTACAATTATGAATGAGGTGATTGACTGAAGGAAAAAAAACAGTGTTTATTATAAAGATGAGCTTGACAATGTAAGTTCCATATTTCAGTTGATTAATTAGTCGTTATGAAAGACAAGCAGCAAGATGTCCATAATTGCACATCTAAATAGCAAACTGTTGTTGTTCCATCATTTGTTATGGCATTGTTTCAGTTTTTATGTATATTCAAGGTTTTTTTCTCTCTCTCCTAGGTGAGCAGAGTCTGAAGTCACTAGAGCGCGTCCTCCCGCTTTATCGAGGAGAGGCAGGAGGAAAGGGGAAGAGTCAAAATCGTCATGGACGGAATGGCAAACACAATGTCATTAAGGTAAATTTGCTTTCTATTTTCATGTTGAAATCATTCCTTCGGTAGCATCAAGTTTGAGGGAAATAAATAAATTTTGCAGTTTTAATAAAGAATTCACAAAGTACCTGTGGCCTTTCACAACTCTGGTGATGATGTTGAATGGTATTATTTATTCCAGTTAAGAGAAAAGTGAGATAATTACTCTGTGCTTACGCCTGGTTTCATGGAGTGAATCTTGTTTTATCTAATTAGTGGTAAGATAGACCACAAATTAACATGTAGTATTTGTTTTGTTCGGTTTACAGGTTCCTCTTGGTACTTTAGTAAAAGAAAATAATGTTATCATCAAGGACTTAGAAAATGAACACGACATGGTGAGTAACTCCAGCATTGTTTTTTGTATTCCCTTCTGCTTTTGTCTTTGTCTGAGATAATTTAGCATTCATTTTCTTCACCAACAAAAATCTTCACCATTGCATTACTTCCCAGTAGTCTGAAAATCAAAGATCCCCTTTTATTTATAAAAATGTTTGTTTGTAAGTTGAGAGTTGTGCTGGTCATGTCGGCTCCCTATGGTACTTTAGCTCTTTGTATTATTATTTTGTAACTTCATGATACATATATATATATATATATAGATAGCTTCCTTTCACCGAAAGCCCTCGAATCATGATAAGCACTCGAATCATGATAAGCAATTATTGATTAAAAGTGAAGGGTCATGATTAAAACCGTGCAGAAAACAAAATGTGTTCAGCGTTCTTGAAGCCCCCTGCTGTGGCATACATGGTTAGTTAACAGCAGCTTGTATAGAATTGCGGTAAAAAATCCAGAAGAGTCATTGACCTATCTTGACCTGAGCCTTCCACACCATCTGGGAGATGTGTGACGGCTTCATGAGCCAGATCTCCCTATCTTGTGATGTGCTGGTCGCTTCTGTAAGGGATCCTACACATCTGGTAGCACAATCAGCCTTTACAGATTCCTATTTGCATTTTATTGAGGCTACCTTCATGCTTTCATTGTTTTAGTTCATGCTGGCTGCGGGTGGTGAGGGAGGACGTGGCAATCGATCCTTCATGACGGCCCAGCACAAGACCCCTATGATGGGTACATGCGGCACCCCGGGGGAGGAGCGGGTACTCCACCTGGAGCTCAGGACCATGGCTCATGTGGGTCTGGTAAGTCATTGACAAATGCATCATTTCATTATATTTCCGTGCACGAAGAAGGAAAAAAAAGGAATGAAATACAGTACTCTCCGCATAATTGGGTAAGGCTGGATGGGGCAATTTGTACCCGATTGGGGGAATGTTTGTATGAAATAAATAGGAGGTGTTCAAATCCAACCACACTAACAAAAATGCCCCTTTATCTGTAACCCTATTATGCAGAGATTACTAATTGGTGGTTTGGTTACCGGTATACAAAATGGGTCTATAATCAAACTTTGAATGTACTGGGAGAATGTTGAACCTATAGATAATCTGCACTAAACGTCTGTCGCTAGCACTAGCATGAAGATCAAAATAGATAAACAAAAATATGTAGGAGAAGTGAATTTGAATGGAGAATGAGCCTATATTTCAAAGCTGTGCTTTTTTACAGACCACATTTTTTCCACATTGTTAATGTCTTCATAACTTTCTTGTTATTGTTCATGAATTTATTCTTGTTGATGATGAGCTTGTTGTTACTGTTTATGAATGTATTGTTTTCATGTCAGTGGAAAGAAAGAAATAAATCTTGAACCTTGACGGTTCCAATGATTTAGCACCAGTAAACCGTTTGGATAGAGAGGATAATTTAAATTGTGTGTTCATTTAACCTTTACCCATTTTATACTTCAAGGTATAAGAGATACAGTCAAACCTGTCTATAGCGACCGCCCAAAGGAAACACAAACAGTGGCCTTTGTAGACAGGTTCCTTTAGTACATGTTTCAAAGAGAAACCATTTTCAAAGAAAATTTTAAAAATATGGTCTTTATAGACAGGTGGTCTTTGTAGACAGGTGGTCACTAAGGAAGGTATAATAGCATTTTGTTATTACTTTCAGATTGGTTTCCCCAATGCTGGCAAGTCCACCCTCCTGAGAGCGCTGTCCAGAGCAAGGCCTGCCGTGGCGGCCTACCCATTCACCACACTCAATCCGCATGTTGGCATGGTCATTTATGATGATATGGAGCAAGTTGCAGGTAAGCGTACAGACATATTGAGGGTTCAGTGATACAAAGACGCAACTCCATTTTGGCCATTTTTAGAAAAAGTGGTTTATGTGTCACTGAGCACTTGAGTCTTAAGGAATAAAGTCTATTTTTCACTAGCCATTGACTTCAATGGGGTGCTGAGTGGAGTTAAGTCTTTGTGTTTCGTGGAAAGTCCACATTTTTCTGAACATTTTGATATCAAATACTCATTTTGGCAAAATATGGAGTTACGTCTTTGTGTCACTGAACCCTCGATTAACAAACTCGGTGAGCTGAAGTTCGGGCCATTTATTATTGTGGACATACATTGTTTGTTTGTTTGTTTGTTTTGTGAGGAGAGATGCTGTTTTGTCACAGGCATTGTCTTTTCTTATTTTTTCTAGAATTATAAATAGATAAGCTATATTTCTTCACAGTCACCTTAAAGTTTTGTAGCTGTTCTGATGTCATTCTAAAGGAATACGATTGATTCTGTTCATGCTGTTGTTCATAACCAAAAGTCAAGAAAAAGAAGACAAATTATTTTCATTCATCTAAATTTGGTTAACTGACAAAACTAAATACTTTTCTATTAGAAAAAATCACATTTATCATTCCTGCCAATCATTCAAGGCAATCGAAACAGGTTTAAAAATTGCCTATATACCTTGATCAAGAACAAGTAATGTAGAATGATGATGTGGTGCAATGGACAGGACTTGTGTAGTGACTCGATAAGAAGAAGAAGAAAGAGTAATGTAGAATGATGATGTGGATGGGACAGTTACTTCTCATCATGCCTCTCTTTCTCTCTCTCTCTGTTACAGTTGCAGATATTCCTGGTCTGATCAGAGGTGCCCATCAGAACCGAGGCCTGGGCCACTCTTTCCTGCGTCACATCGAGCGATGCCGCTGCCTCCTGTACGTCATCGACCTCTCCGTCAAGGACCCCTGGTCGCAGCTGTCCGATCTCCGCTACGAGCTTGAGCAGTACCTGCCCGGTCTGTCAGAGAGACCTCACGCAATTGTTGGGAACAAGATGGATCTTAAGGAGTCCAGGACCAACTTGATAGAGTTCCAGGACAGGATCAGGTTGCCTGTGATAGCCATCTCTGCACAACTGAGCAGAAATATTGGACCCTTGAAGGACCACATAAGGAAGTTGTACGATCAGGACATTGGTGGAAAGCACAAGGTCAACCAGGCTCAAGATGAAAAGACAGTCCAGACTCCAGTTAATAGAATTATATGACATTATTTTTAAAGACATACCTAGGTACATTTCCTTGAACAATCCATATTAAAATGTTTTCCAATTCAAATACCAATGGTGTCAGAATCTACTTTATTTGTTGGAGCTCGTTGAAAGTTGTTGCAAATGTTATGATGAACCAGAAGCAATTGGGATCTTCCAAATGTATGCCTTCTATAAACTGTACTAACATGTGCATGCATAAGAATTTGAAGTTGATTATGAAACTTCTTATTCAAATTATATCTGCATTCGTACAGCATGGGCATGGTCATTTTGGGATATTATGATAGATATATACAAATATTAGGGGAGGTTTATTTATTTATTTATCATTTCTCTCCACTTCGGGGTCCTTTCTGTTTCATGAATAAATTCACGGTAGAGGTCCCTTAATATTGTTTACCTTATTATGGTTCCACATGATTTTGCTGCGCCCCCCCCCCCCCCCCCACCCTAAAAAAAAAAAAATAGTAATAACAATTAACAAGTAGATAATGATTATATATATATATATATATATAAGTTTTAAAAAATAATGAATTGTTTGTTTTAAAAGAAGACAAAACCATTCAACAAGATCATGATGACATTTTATTGAGAGTGAGGTGGATGGAAAAGAGATTCAGAAAAGTGTGAGAGAGAACAAAATTGTATTTACAGAGAGTGGGAGAGAGAAGGAATGAAAAATTGAACTTTCATACCAGTTGTCTGAGTTTCTTTAGTCCAGAAGCTTCTTCACAGACTTTTCTGTGTTTTCCGAGGCATTAATTTTGTATGAACTACATCAATTCATTATGAAAATAATTTTGTGAGAAATGAATCAGTAAAGTCTTTCCATGAAGCTATGCATCTTGCCCCCCTTACCAAAAGGAAGCATTTCTTCCAGATTGATTCTTCGAGCACCCCCCCCCCCCCCCCCCCCCCCCCACCTCCATCATAACCAAATGTTAAAGCCAAAATGCACCAGAAAACCACAATATCATAAGGTTAATTTACGGGTCTTTTGCTGGTGTTCATTTTCTTTTCCATATTGGAGACATTACAACTGTGTTTTTTTTTTGGGAGGGGGGGGGGGGGTGAGAGGGAGGGGCACAGAATTTATTTTGGAAGGGCATGTGCTCCTACTTCTCAACCCAAACTCGCACTCTAGTCATGTCTACGATCTACCGGTAGTCTGATGAATTTGCATAGAGATCCTATGATCTCTCAAGTGAGTTTGGTATTGCGCCATCTACGATTAGCAGCTGCACAGTCAACAAGAAAAGATGGCTACTACCCCGCGTGAACGAAGTTCTGCTGGCTGGCCCAGAGGAAGGTCTGTTTCAGACTCTAGCAATCACAAAAGTACAGCTGGTGTGCATCGTGAAAGGACAGCAATATTGTAAGTATTTTGATTAATTAGCAGTGGTAAATCTAACAGGTTCCCTCTTTTTCTATATGTCAAACCGAGTCCTTGAACTGAACGAAAATGTTCAATCAATTGTCGGGTTTTTGTGTGTAAAGTGAATGAGTCTGTGTTGGGAGACTGATTTCGGTCATGATTAACTCCAGGGACCGACGATGCCGCTGCCGAGGGCGTTCGAGCTCCAGAGCCATTCAAACAGCGGGTTTGGTGACATTTTTGCGCAATGTAAAGAGACAGTAATTTCAATTTTGACTTAGACTAGATCTACAATGTTTTTCGATTCCTCTGGGCATCCTTCCAACATGTCCAACCATTTGAAATTATAATTTGAAGATGTCTTTGACTTTTTTAGTTTTGATGGGAGAAAGGGTAGAATCTAGATCTAATTCTTTCTTTGCATGAATTTAATGAGGATCTGAGTATTCTGAGATTACAATCGCTACATGTAACTTCATGCATGCACGTGAAAAATAACCTCCCCAAAATAAGAAAATTGACACGAAAGAGGTACAAAAGATAACGACTTTAAATCATGATTGTTATTTGAACAATTGTGGAAGATTTAGATGAATTTTGGTGTGTTAGAGTAAGAACTAGTATCTCCACGCCGGAGTCGAGGGTAAAAAAATGGCCAATTAATGTTGATGAATTTCATGCTGGGAGCTCTAACTTTATTTGTATGTACATAGTCTATGTATCTAAGATTTGACTTGGAAATTATTACGGTTCTGCCCAAATTAAGTCAAACTTCCAGAATATCCTAAAAATGCTCTAAAACTAAATGACTTAAAAAGATACTAAACATTATCAAATATGCTTTCTTGATGCAGAATAACTAAACTATCCAAGGTCAATATTGAAGCTCATTCGGTTTAATCTTCGACATTTTTTCAGGACAATGCAATCCTATCATATCATCATATCATTTTCACAACACAAAAAAGGTGTAATTTATATTAAGTAACAAAACAAAAAATTAAGGTTTGACATTGTCAAAGCCAAACAATCTTGTAAGACATAGAGAGTCGTACATTGGATCAGTTGCCCTAGTCCAATGTTAGAGATGTCTGTGCTCATTTGATGAACATGCAGTTCAGATTTTTTGAGAAATGAAAGATGACCATTATTAAGATTGGGAAGTTGTCTGTCCGGACACATAACTTGAGTCATAAGTTAATGTCTTGACAAAAATAAAGTATGCTCATTTGCCTATGGATTAAATGAAAAATATTCATCAAATAGCAATAACCATCATGAATATTTGTCCTGTAAGATATTGCCCGACATAATTCTTTGAAGTGTAATGAAATATTGCTTACATACATATGTATAACTTCTTCAAATTACTGTTTAAAATAAAGTGTCCGGATAGTGGATACAATAATACACAACGTCTGGTTATAATACATCTAGTATCTAACTATCTACTGGCTTTATCGAATCTACTAACTTTGTTAGTACTTTGAAAAATGCAGTCAATACTGCCGTCAAGTTTCCAGACCTAGGCTAGAGTCTATCTTCAATCTTCCATCTATCTTTTTCTCTAGCTGGTTGTATAAAGTTTGTAGTTGTACACTGTCACAGTCATGACTGTCATTCAGTGCTTTGTCTCTGCTTGTTGTGCTAATGTCATAGGGTATGGGTACCATGGGTTTGTGAGGTCTCTAAAGGTTACATGATTATTGAAAATACATATCGGCGGAGGCATTTTAGAGTGGCAGTCTCATTTTGTGTTGCCCAAATTTTTCTTCTTTCGTGGCAGATATCCTTTGACAAACTACACATTTGGGACCAAAGAGCCCCTGTATGAGAAAGATTCCAGTGTACCAGCCAGGTTCCAACGGATGAAAGATGAATTCCAGAAGATGGGCACAAGGCGGTCTGTAGAGGGAGTCCTCATCGTTCATGAACATGATCTTCCTCATGTTTTATTGCTGCAGTTGGGCACAACATTTTTTAAATTGTAAGTTTATTTTCATCTTTTGCATTGTTTTTAGGCGTTATTTTGTATTATTTCTAGTTTGACCACCATTTTCATCAAAGGCCCATGGTTGTAGATATTGAGATGCGATTTTCTTGTTAATTTAATAGCACCTGCATACAATTGATTAGTCCCAGGCCAGTCAAATACTCTTTTTCTTTTGCAGAAAATCAGAGATTGCGAATACCTAATTATTGTATATTTATTCCAGTTAGATTACAGATAGCACTTTGTTGTATGAGTACAGTTGAACTCAAACGAGCTGCAAATAAACAAACATCAAAAATCATTTGTCTGTGGTTCCTTGGTTATTTGTGAGAATTTACGTCCCTTATTTGTATACAGTTTTAGTGGGAATTCAACATGTCTTTTGACAATGATCCTTGAGATTAGCTTTTTGTGTCTTTTGTATGTAGGCCTGGTGGAGAACTCAAAGCTGGAGAAGACGAGATGGATGGTCTCAAGAGACTCATGACAGAAGTAAGATATCAGAGATAGATCTACAGTTGACAACTAAATGATTCATACCTTTACCAAGTTTTGTAATTTGTTTATGATTTTTTTTTAATCGTACCTATTTATGTTTCTTGAGAATATGACATATTAAAGCTTACTCTAAAGTTATTCAGCAAAGGCCCTAATTCAACCAGTCCGCTCATTCTTGAGTTACAAAAAACAAAACGGCAGTTTCAGCTATTTGCAAGCTAGAGCTTCTGAACTGAACTTGAAACAAATTGTGTATGTAATTATTTCATACCCTGTGTGAAAATTTAGGACCAAGAGCGATTGAGAAGAATGTGACTTCATAGCCACTTCATAGCCACCTCATAGCCTGAAAATGTGTGACACTATTACACACTAAGTTTAAGCACATACAAATGGAAAAGAAATTGATGAAAAGGGACATTCAAAGTTGACCTTGAGCAGGAAATCAGTCACATATGGAAGAATGAATCTATTCTTTTGAAAGTACCAAATGATAAAAGCTATTTTTTTTTTTTTTCATTTTATTTATTGGTTCAACCATTTTGTTTAAACAACATAAACAAATACAAACAATGTTCGAAGAACATATACAAAACATATTGGACATTTTAAACAAAGATTCAGTGATTTTAGGCTTAGCCTGCCTTTTGGGTAAATTGAAGAAAAAGAAAACATGTTTTAACTGGAAAGATAATGAAACTATTCCTTTTAAAATACAGAGTGATGAAAGCCAATTTTTCATTTAAGTAATACATGGCCTTATTTTCTAGACCAAATTTCAATTATTTTTAGGCTTGGCCAATCATTTGGATGAACATACCGGTACATAAATTGAAGGGGGAAAAAGCATATAAACTGTAAATATGAGATTTAGGGATGTTTCTTTGAATCTCTGCACAACAAGATTGATGGTCAAACATTCAGACATTACTCTAAAACTTGTTGATGCATTTATTTCTAATTGTCTTTATTTTTTAAATCTTTTTTTTTATTAATCAGATTCTTGGAAGACAAGATGGTGTCCAGCAAGACTGGATGGTAGAAGATATCATTGCGAACTGGTACAGACCTAACTTTGAACCTCCTCAAGTGAGTATAATGAAGATGATCATCATTACCATCTTGATGATGGTGATGGTGGTGGTGGTGGTAGCAGTGACAGTGGTATTACTGGTGGGGATGGGATGTCAATATTAGGGTGACATTGATGATTAATACTTCAATGAAAGGGTACTGGGAGAATGATGATGATGATGGAGAATAAAATTGTGGTGGTGGTGGTGATGATGATGTTGAAGATAGTGGTGATTTGAGGAGGAGAATGACATTGATGATGGTGGTGGTGGTGGATATGATTTGAGGAGGAGGAGGAGGATAGTGATGATACTGATGATAATGATTATGATAATTGTGTTGATGAGGAGGCTGATGGTTACATGATATCCAAATGATAAGAAAAAAGAGTTTACAACAACATATACATGTAGGACCAAAACAAAGATCAGGGATTGGCAAAGAATGCTGAAGCTTTAATTCTGCATGCTATGCTATATTGTAAAATGACTGTCAATTATATTTTGACCTGTTCTCTACTTTACTTACTACCAATGCATTTTAGTGCTGATACTCTTCATATTATTTCTCTCCACAGTATCCTTACATTCCAGCTCATATAACAAAGCCAAAGGAACATAAAAAACTCTACTTTGTACAACTAGCGGAAAAGGGTAAGTATTTGAACTTGTAAAATATTGATTTACTTACTTCATTCATTCATATTTTTGTAATTTCCGCTGCTGACATGAATGAATAAAAATGTTAAAATACAGAACATATAATTTGTGCACCCAAGAATATTCCAAATGGTGAAAGCTGTCTTCCAGTGGACATTATTATTATTATTTCACAACCCTTTAGGTATTTCATCAAGGTGTGGCAATGATTGGAGATCTATGCTGTGTGTTCATTCTTTAAACTGTATAATAGTTGCCTTTGATAAAACATTGTTATATTCTTTTTCATGTGAAGTCAAATCAAATGGATTGTAAAATTGAAAACGATTTGAGAAATTGGGAACATGCATAAATAAATAAATATATTTGTATCATTATCTCCTGTTTATAGCCCTATTTGCTGTTCCAAGGAATTACAAGCTGGTAGCAGCGCCTCTCTTTGAACTCTACGACAATTCACCAGGATATGGTCCAGTCATATCCAGCTTACCGCAGCTACTTAGCAGGTAGGTTTGTCATCCAGAATATTCTTCTTTCTCTAGGTATTGGTCCAATGTATGCTCTCTTTGAATTTGAGAAGACATGGAATAAAGTTCTGATTTATTCCCCACAATTGTTTTGTTTTTTTAATGACTATTAGTCATATGATTATGGAAACCTGTTTGCCACCATTTTTGTTTAATACTAGTATTTTAATATTTTGGTTTAATTGGTATGTCTTACGATTGGATGTTGACAGTTAAACTTGGTGGATCATGCTGACACATGTTTTTTTGCAAAGTGTTTTTGACCCAGTTTTAGACATGTAACTAATACAATTTTTGTTTCTCCTTTTGTTTCCACTTTTAGATTCAACTTCATTTACCAGTAATCAAGCAATCAAGATATTCTGTTGATGTCGGCATGTAAGCTAGTTAGCAGCTTCGATCCACAAAAAGACTGCTTTTTAATCTCACTTTTGTAAATATAGTCTGTAGGAGCAGTGGAAGCACAATACAGATCGTGAACCTTGTGTCTCAAAAATTTGAACGGACAATTTTTAACAGCGAATTCAGTATCAAGGAGGCACAAAAGATATGTATGGTCTGACAGTTCACTTATTGTCGAACAAATTGTCACTTTCTTCCATCCTAGCGTATGTGATGTAGTTTGCTCAGAGGGTGTGATTTTGTAGGAAATCATGAATTTTTAGTCACATGAGGAATTCAACCAAACATTTATGTTGATACTGTCATTCAGATTGTACAAGTTGTATCTCTGTAGATGAAATAATTCTTTGGCATGAACAGCTTTGCTCAACTTTGCCAGGTTCAATGTTTCATGTGCACCTTGTGAAAATTAAGATTTTTTGTTCACAATATACAATGTACAGGAATACCATCATGGGAGATTGTCTAAGGCAGTTCTGATCAATTTTGATGCAGAATCTTAATCATTTCACTGTGAAACTGCTGATTTATGATTATGACCTTATTAACATGACATACAAACAATTATGAAAATGCATATTTTGTCTCATGTTTACGGAAACTTTAGATAGAGGCATTGATTTCTAATCATCCTCAAACTACACCCGCACCATGCCCCATATCCATATGTAAATAGTACTTTGTTTATGTAAATATCTTGATTGTTTTGTAAGTTTTGTACGATAGGTCCCTCACCTGTTGCTGAATGTAAGTGTACTGAATGCCATTCTCGCGATCTGATTATTGTTTGATAGGAATAAGTATGTTGACTGCACAGTGTTCACTATCAACATTTAAACATAATGCAAGGGATTTTATTCTTGAACGCTTGTATTCTACTCAAACTTAAACTTAACGCCAAGCCTAAGCTTTTGTTCCGAATTGGGTTTTAGAATTGAAGTTAGGCTGAGATCTAAGTTTTCCTTTGTTAAACGTGATCTTAGATCCAGCTTTGGGATTTATTAAATTATATGTTGTAGAAAAACTGACCTCGTTGTGAAAGGAATCAGATGGTCTTTGTTTGGACCACATATTAAGAACACATGATGTATTCTCTTATTTTTAAGGTTTTTTATTCAAACTGATGATGATTATAAACAGGATACATTACATTTATCCCAATCGTACTGATGCTAAGTCTAATGGATTCAGCGATGTGATCATGCGCTCTTTATGTTCTCACGCATTTATCAATGTGTGCACCATTATCTGTCGTTAGATGTACTCATATGCATGTCTATTATAATGCACAACAAAGGTTAACGCGATATGATGGCAGTAAAATAAATTATATTGAGCTCATTTTCCTACATTTTATGTCAGTTGAGTGTGTACATGTAAGTTGCTTGAGTGAGCTTGTTGTCATCCGAGATACAGATTGTCATGATCTCTGTATCTCTATATTCCGCATGTATCATCTTAATGGATCTCAGTCTAGTGATGGCAAACAAGTAGGTACTGTGCAAGAGCAATTGAAACATGGACAATGTACACACATTGAAGGAAAAAAACTACTTGCATCCTCATTTTACAACATCATCTTTTTGTCAAAGAGAGTACTTTTTAAGTTGTTCATTATATAATATAATAATAATCTGTTCTGGAATGTGATATAACATCTCTTTATGCTTCCAAAGACTCTTGGGATATTGTTACCCAGCTTTAGCTCTGGCAACCATAGTGCTGGGTGTGTTCAAGAAATGAATCCTACCAGGTACCCACTTTCTACCCCTGGGTCGAGAGTATAAAATGTAGATTAATGTTTTGCCAAAGGACATAAGTGCTGCAGCCAGGAATTCAGATCATGTGGTTCACAGGCCAGAGACTTATCCATAACACCTCAATTAGTGCTGTAGTCAAACGTTTAACCGACCGGTATCCGACCGCCCATGGCGGATTCCGTTTTCAATTGGACGGTTTCGTTTTCCCGATTTTTTTTTTTTTTTTTTTTTTTTTTAAATATTTTTTTTTTTTTTTTTTTTTTTTTTTTTTTTTAAAAGTTTCGATTTATGCCCCTCCACCTGGCACTATGCCTGGCAATGTCTCCCAGCTCAGTAATCTGTGTGTTGACTCACCACTCCAAAACTAGAACAACACTCCAATTTGTCTGTCATCTTGGTTTGAAAGTAATCTTTGTAATAGATCTCATCATCTCAATATGTAGTTTATAATAATAATTCATCCAACTTTTACACAAGGTTCTGTCCTAGGTCCTCTACTGTTTTTAATTTACATTAATGATCTTACACATTCTTCTAAAAACAACATTGTTACTATTATTTGTGACAAGTTCACAAGCACAAATCGGCCCCTTTAAATGCACCTCCCAGTTAAATGAAAGTTGCCGACAGAGTCGGTAAAAAAAAAAAAAAAAAAAAAACAAATTTTTTTTTTTTTTTTTTTTTTTTTTTTTTTTTTTTTTAAATCGTTTAACCGAAAACCGTCCGGTTTTGACTGGCGGTTAAACGGAATTGGAGATATCCGTGATGTTACAGCACTAACCTCAATATCAAAACCACATTATGAATCCTTGATGTTGGTCTCAAATCACACCATGTTTGATTAGACTGTACATCCTAAGAAATGTCATACACTTTGATTCTTGAACTATACCAGCACAAGAAGTTCGTAATACACAACGGTCTTGTTAAAGTAACACATGTACAATGAAATCAATCGATGGGAAGGTAGTTTGTATATCATTTTGAAATATGGGGGTATTATTACCTAACTGATGGTGCATATAACGGATGGACACTCGTTAAGCCGCTTTTGTGTTTTATCGTTAAATTGTTGAGGTATACCTTTTTATGATATATCTTGGATGCAGAAGAACATAATGTACTTTTGTTCTAACTTCCCGGTTTGTAGACCAACCATCATTAAATTGTGTTAGTCTGCATTTTATGTCATGTGCATCATGTTATTAAAATATTGCTAAAAATCATTGAAATGAACAGTGGTCGTTTTATCAATTTGTAATTCTGAGTACAACAGTGTGATAAAGAAGCGTTTATTTGACATATGATACATCAACTTGTAACGAAATGTTTTTTATAGTGTGTATGTTTGGGAATTGAGAAGACATTATTCATTTTGTTACATTTTGCATTAAACTTCTTTAATTATTTATGCTACTAATGTCCACATTGTGATTGCATAAACAATCATTATTTGCTAAAAACATGCTCTGTGTTTAGGTCTTAGTTTCTCAATTGAAGTTTGATTTTATTTTAAAAGTTTTATGTAATTGATAACAATTCAAAATTATTCCCATCTTATTCTAACGATATAATTAATCTTCATCACTTTTCCTAACGATTTATCAGGCATCTGTTTTAAGACCTGTATCTTGGTAATGGCTTAGGGAAACTATAAATGAAGATTACGAAAGACATGATATTAATTACCCTATTGAACTGACGTCGCCATTGAAAAGGAATGTTACAGTATTACATCCAGGCGTCTCTCGCTCGCGATCGGTCATTAATCAATACTTCTCCGACTCGAGACGAAGATCGAAATATTGGCGGCGCAACGACTTCGGCATCTTTTCCTTGCTGCTCGTTGCTATGGTGATTGGGACACAATATCTTCGCGCACAATGCATGGTAGATGATACACAGTGTGCAGACGATGAGAATCAGAAGACCGAGGGACGCCGCAACCGCGATGCCGATTATGAGGCCGATACCCAGTTCTGCGATTTTTCCATTCCTGGGTGGTTCTCGTTGTGTATCTGGAGAAAGCAATGAAAGAAGGTTCTCATATAACTCATGAGGAGAAGCAAATATAAAATTTGGAGGAAACTTTCAATGGTTACCAACAGCAGAAAAATAAACGAATTTGTTAAGAATGTCACTGTATGTACTTAAAATGATGAACAAATATTTTGGCCGGTAAAATTTCAATAAAAATCGTGCACCCCAATGTATGATAATGACGATGATTGTATCATAGCATGCGGCAATATATTCTGTCATTTTGTGTCCAAATATAATTCATATTGAATGTATTTTTCATGATATTTGGTCTGTTGCAATTGCTCAACGCAAATACGATCATGCCATTGATCAGCCGTTGTCATGTGATATGCTATAACTCTTGATGTATCTCAGATTTACCCAATTGCCGACAGTGTGTGAATGTTTCCGATGAGAAAGTTAAATAGGCCTACGTTTGTATGTTAACTTTTTAATAATCGAAAAGAAAAAAATCTAGGGAAAGATCCCTGTAGTTTACCTACGGCTGGTTCATCACTCCCATCTCCGCAGTTATCGTGAGTATTGTTGACTAGTTGAGCAATTATACATCTCCCGTTGGTACATCTAAACTCACTTGCGTTACACGGACCTTGAACATTACGAGAGAGAGAAATATATATAGAGAGAGGGGGAATGGCGAATATATTATTGCAAAGATCAAGAGATTTAGTAAGCAAAACATGAAAGTAGTTCAACTGAAGTGAAATTATTCAATACCTCTGTATGCTATGTGGTTGTTAATTATGATTATTATTGTGGTCAGTGTTGTCGAGTTATGATTTTTGACATTAAAATCATTGTATCGTTTACATGACTTGCAAATAGACCTAATTATGAGAAAAATCTAGTAGTATCACACCCACCGCCCCCCCCCCCCCAGAAAAAAATGTTCATCTCCTTTTTATCAAGTTTTTAATTTGTTTATTTAGTTGGTCAATCTCATTGATTGCACGCTACGTTAAATGGTAATGTGAAATGATTTGATCGTAGTGTGAGCGCAGTTTATCGCCCCACATTACAATTTCCAACTAAGTGTGTTTGCCCCCCTCCCTTTGAACCCTCATGATGCCAGATGGATCGACGCTCCTTGTGTTTCATATACCATGCAATCTCTTTAGCAGTACATGCAGGTTATTGTATTCATCCAACTTGAACGAAATTTATACCTGTGTGAAAACTTGTGTAAACCAGTCTGAACCCATCTTTGCGGGGTGCGTCATCCGTCTTCAACAAAAGGGTGACGGATGGCCCACTGGAGACGAGATCACCTATCTCATCTTCACGGCCGCAGGACGCTTCGCCTTTATGTTTTTTTTTTTCAAAGAGAAATACAATAGAATAAAAAGTGAATTGTTAATATTTCGGCATATGGTAAAGCATAGTTAATCGTCACGCCTGATCTGATGCCCTATCTCTCACTCTCTAGGCGAATCCACTTTTTATCAAGATGGCTATGAATAAATAAGAAAACATAATTAAGACGCATAATTCCTTTTGTTACTGCAATTAATTATTTTTTTCTTCCAATTTGCATTGATAAAAAATAACAGTAATTATATTTGTAAAAGCTCATACATATAATAGTCCCTCTGGTGAAAAAAATAAAAGCTTGCCTTATTATGTGTACATATTTTCAACTATACTATTCATCCTCTGTTGGTATTCGTCAAAAAATGATCATGCACAGTATGACGTATTATAATTTAAATTTAAAAATAATATTTTACAAATCGACCTACCGTTTTCAAATATGGCTTGCGAAGAGTTCGCCGCCCCGTCAACGTACCACAAGGCATCAAAACAAATACGATCTACATCGCCTTCGATGTCGAAGTCTTCGGAGACGATGAGTAATAATTTGTCTCTGTCCGTGGTTATTGTTATCCGGCATTCCACATCGTTTGGATAAAATTGTTCCCGCTGAGAGTGAAGTAAACCAGAGTGATAGAAAGAGATGTCCGTTGAGATCGTCGACTCGCAATTCTCTAACATGTAAACTGATGAGGGAAGATTTGTAAAAGGGGAGAAAAAGACATGATGAGGGTGTGGTAATGATGATGATGATGATAAGGGTCGACGTCGAGGGTATGAGGAATGAGAAGAGAAAGAATAAGGAGAAGAAGAAAAAATAATAGTTGGTGGAAAGAACTTTACCCCCTAGGATAGTTGTCCGGGGGTAGTTGTCCTAGGGGTGGTTATCCCAAGGGTGGTTTTCCAGGGGGGGGGTAGTGGTCCTAAAACCGCAGTAGATAATATAGGGTAAACAAAATAATCTGCGAGGCAGTCAGATGAAAAGAATCTTGACATTTGCTTGCCTGAAATGTATAGTCATGTTCTTTCAATCATAATTGTTTGCAATGTTTACATTGTATCTTCATGAGTAGCTGTCAATAATTATTATGATGGAGAATAAAATATTAATAAACATTGTCATTATAATGCTCACTATAATGCTTCGACATACCGGTAGATAAGAATCGTTATTACCCCCCCCCCCCCCCCAAAAAAAAAAAGAGTAATTAAGCACAAAGACACCACTCACCTTCTTGTATCATTGATAACCCGCATCTATAACCGCAGATCAGAATCACAAATATTACCGATAATGAGAAAGAATAATTGTCCATGATTTGGTAATTCCTACTTTCGTCCTTTCTAAAAGACAAACAAAAAGATTACAGGCGCTCGCGTAACTATGATCATCAAAGTTTAGGCATAACCCGGCGGATTTTCCGATTAGTATTACATGCCCAGTCGTCGTAACATCGTGCATTTACATAGTTCAAATTTAATCCGTGTCATTTATTTTGTTTCAGCTGTGAACAAAGATGTTCTCTTCTTCCAAAGACAAATTTCTAATGTCTTTAAAACCAATGCGAAACTATGTATATGTTCCCATATTTGATATTTCCATTGCACTTTCCAAAAGGAGCAAGAAATAAAAGTTGAACCACCCCATTCACTGCACAGAGATATGACGAAAGAGGACGGGCTGTTGGGTCTTATCATAATCAATACTGAATGAGATTTTCGTTGGCATATTTTTCGATCCAGAAGTTATTTCATTGCACGTGTAGGCCAACTCATAAACAAACAAGAATCAATAATTATTGTTTAATTAATTTCTGGGAACTGACCACATTCTTGAATAAGTGCTGACGTACATCCTTAGGTCTCTTGATTAAAAAAACTGCCAGTCAACGATTTAAAAAAAATAGATATATTTATTTTTTTTATTTTTAGGATAGACATTATCATCGCAAGCACTTCCCAATTCCAACATTAGGTTATTGTTGGGAAAAATTTTCGGACAAAATTTTGAGGAAAAATGGGGTATTTCAACCCACTAACACTCTCTCTCTCTCTCTCTCTCTCTCTCTCTCTCTCTCTCTCTCTCTCTCTCTCTTTCTTTATTTTGAAATGCTTGTATATGGTAAGCAACCAAAGGTTCCTATTTCCAAATGAACTTGACAGCGCCTTGAGCATCCCTTGGGGTGGAATGGATATGTGCGCATTATACACGTTATTATTATTATTATCATTATTTAAACGGATTGAAGGTGTAGGTACCGTGTCATTAATGCAGCCCGCAATCCTAGGGTTGAGGGTTCTAATTAATCCCAGCCCGACACTATTTTGTTTGGTGACACTATACTTTTAGAATTTCCACCCTGGTGTAATTACGTACATATGGTTAATAGAATTGTGGATGCTGATGGTGGATGCTGATGAGGCTTCCCTTAATCAGGGAGCAAAATTATTATTATTATTACTTTTATAAGTCATGTCGGGGAACTTGTTCATTATTAGAAAAATTGCCTAATCAAGGGGCACTACCTCCTTGAATTGATTTTTACCCCCTATCCCCGGCCGCCCACTCTGTTACGAGACCACATGTATACATCTGGGAAATCAGACAACCTTTTAGTTTTTCATATCCTTATGCGTCATTTGGAAATGTAGTCCAAGGAGGTTGATCGAAACAGTTGACAGGGAGGTGAGACAGATCACCATCTTGATCGAAAGTCACTACGAAGCTCGAAGGCCAATGTGAAATTACAAGGATCTGGTACATTAAGTTGGTTGGTGGTTGTATTGTTGCATGGCAATGGTAAACAATTGGTTGAAATCATTAAGCGAAAGGGAGCAGTTTTCTGGTGAAGGTTTAGTTTATTCCTCTAAATATATTTACACCCTTAATAACATAATTGAATTGACTTTCATATATTTAAAAAATACTACTTATGCCATTGGAATTATATACAATTGATTAAAATAAAATATTATGATTTGCTTTCTTTTTTACATCCCCTAAAAATTAGTAGATGAACCCAATCAAAATGGCGACTACTACTTTAACTAGAACGATTTTGTTACCAAAAAAAAGTACAGATTTTAACGTTTTTGTGCTCATTATGTCTATTATGTTTGCATTTGGAGAATCACTACAAGTTTGTAAGTATTTCATGTATTTGTTTTATTATTTCAATCGAAGAGAGTATTCAAATTAGGAAGATATTCTGTCAAAAGAGGAAAGGCAAATTAGGAAACGAATGCATTATATTGCCCCACTTACTCATTTCTGTGTAGCCTAGACCTACTGTATGTCAAGTGGTGTAATGCCGAAACGTAAATTTTAGGCGCTATGTCTAGTTCAATTCAGAAGACTATCCAAAAATTGACCCGTAACTCTGGCGACGAGATACCCTTCTAAATCATACCAAAAATGAAGTAAATATTCTTTAAATATCCACATAAATATCGTGAGTTACTTAAAAGTTGTTATGTTTATTACCTGTTTCGTGTCAATTTTCAAATTTTCTTGTTATTTTTTTGGAGTATTTTTCGGAAAAGCATTGATATTAGTCTACACTTTTTCACAAGTTTCATGGCAAATCGCTGATCTTTATTGGGACATTTAATGAATATTTACTGCATTTTGGGTACGTTTTAGTAGGGCATCTCCACGCCGGAGTTACGGTTCAAATTTTGGATAGGCTTCTGAACTAGCGCCAAATTTTGCACTTGTTTCAGTCTCACCTCATCTTTATAAGTCTCTTTCATTTGCATCAATTTTTTCCATTCATACTTAGATAGAATGTATGATTCCCCTGGCTTCAGAACTGTTATTTAGTCTTACCAATTACTAGCGACCAGATCTGGGTCTAACTTCTAACAAAGATGAAGAGTTTTTCCAAGTTATCACTTTTTAGTATTTTGTTAAACAGTGCAGTGCAGTCTTGTTTAAATTGGAATTGATGTAACTGATTCGCAATTCACAATGGCACAAAATACACTCGGCTAGTGAATACCCTCATGCGCTGCATCAACCATAACGCACTCACATACGTCTGATCTGTGTATTATTTTTATAAATAATAAATAATTGATATTGCAATGATAACACTTGTAAGTTGTATGTGATACTGATACTAATAGTAGTCTGATAGTGATGGTTAAACTACTGGGTGAATATATTATACCTACAGTTACTTACCCATATTTTTGTTCCATTTTTTTCATCAGCATATCTGTCCAACAGCTGTAATACTACAATCCCAGCAGATATCACAGGCCTGGTTGAGCCGGACAGCAGCCTGCGATACAGTAACAATCAGGACTGTCATGTAGTCCTCTCTACAGACTCAAACAAGAAGCTGCTTTTGCAGTTCAACAGATTTGTCTTGGAAGAGGCTGTAAATGGTGAAAACAATCTAGAAAAATCAATGTTTCTTTCTCATGATTTGTTTTCTTTTTTCCCTTTTACTGTTTTAGAGTTAATTCTGTTTCATAATCATATTGATAAATTTATACTTACTTATTGTGAAATAAATTGTGAACTCTTAGTAGCTAGTAACTTCTTATTATTTCATGCGGATAAATTTGTACTTTCTAATCAGGAAATAGAATTTGATTAGTTATCACTTCTTGATAGGCATAAATAAAGTACGGTAATGCCCTTTGTTAACAGTGTACATGTGTAGTTTGCGTTTCCATTAATAAAAGTTGTTTATGCCTTGTAGTTGTGCATATTTCACATCCTGGGAAATTTATATGTTTGCAATTGCATTTCTAAAACTGGGTTTTAGTTAGTATCAGTCTCTTTTCCATTTCCCTGTCTATCATCTAAAATTTTATACTACTACTACTAATAATAATAATTCCGTTTTTGTATAGCGCTTAGATACATCTATGATGTCTCTAAGCGCTTTACAGATATACTATTAACCCGGTCATTGGATTCAATACTTGCCCGCACACACTGTGTGCACAATCTCCACTCCCTGGGGAGCATTCCAGCTGTTACTAACCCAACCTTACTACTCTTATTTACAACAGGAGAATGTGTGGACAGTCTGAGGGTGCATGATGGAGAGAGTGACCTGGCATCACCTTTGAGCCCTAAGCTCTGCGGCCGCCAGACCCTGTCTGAGGTGGTCTCCACTGGCAGCAATGTGACCTTCGTGTTTGAGACGGACGACTCTGGGGTCAGTCTGGGATTTGGAATCCTCTACACAGTATTTGAAGATGGTGAGGTTTTTTTCATTTTTTTTCAAAAAACAAGGTAGTGGGCTTACACTTGATTAATACACTTAAAGCCCCACCACACTACTTATAGCTACTTGCACCCTCTATATAGCAAACAATGCCTAATTGGTGCCTGTTGGTCCCCCATGATCCTTTTTTTTTTAATGTTAATTGAGGGCTGATTTGATGAGATAACCACCTGTCAGTGACCTTGCAGGGAGATCTAATCCCCCTGGCCAAACTAGTGCAGACAGGCTTTAATTACACTATATAAAGTCTTAAAATATTGTACTCATCAACAAGTGTAAGAAGATAGTAAAGTTTTTGGTTAATCTAAATATACAATGCTGCTATCGACTTGCATCTTTTCAAGCTAGTTTCACTACATTTGAAGACACTAATCAGTTCCACGAACTGACATGGAATTCTCTAGAAATAGATGACAAAATGGAGATGAAAATGCAGAATACCTTAGATTAACCATGTATCATTATACATAATTCAGCCATTTGGCTGCGAAGTGCAATCATAATAAAACCTTTTTAATCAATCAAACCTTTTTAATCAATCAAAATGTATATAAATCAAAAGGAGACTAATAAGCTTGCGCTACAAGAACTATTCTTGAAATGAGGTGCTTTTTTAAAAGAAACACCCACGAAATATAATTTAATTTCTTTTAAACACTGACTGTAAAGCTAACTTTTCTTGCTATTCATTTTCTTCACCCCTTCCAGCACCATGTACGGCTGCTCAGTTTCAGTGTAACAACAGTAGATGCATTGATATATCTCTCATCTGTGATTCCTTGAACAACTGTGGAGATAACAGCGATGAAGCCCAATGCACGGGTAAGGAGATCAGAAATAACTGAAAAAAACTATGTAACTCTGGATTTGCTTATTAGAGGCAAATCAGTAAAGAAAATGGTCATACCATATATTCAAGACATTTTTGTGCTTTTGATTCTTTGCATGTAGAATTCCAGAAATATCTGGAAAATGTTATAATTTTTTTAGGGGGGGGGAGGAGTTTGGAAAGTGCTCATTACATTATCAGCTTTAGTAGCTCTAAAATTCCTTAAAGGATGTTTTCCTACAAATTACTCACTTTCCACATCGAAGTTGAGGTAAGAGTCTGTAAATATAATTATTTGTTGCAGGGTAAAAGCACAGTGTCAGAAATCAAATCCAGTGTCGATACAGGAAGACATGAAAGCGAGTAATTTTACACTGTGCTTTGCTTTAAGTTTATATCCTTTTGAAAATATTTTCATTAGTTCCCCCCATGTTGTTTGTCTAAATGCTATACAAGTGTACTTACATATTTCCTTCCCTGTAGCATGTAGAATCACTAGGAGCATATTTGAATACATACTCTCATCTGGCTGTATTTACCATGCTCATGTCTCAGATAATTCTTTTCATTCTTATCTTGCCTTTCCATTCCATTTTTCTGAAGCAAATACTATACTTTACTTAGGCCTAAAAAAAAATATGTTGTACTGCCCTTTGTGACCGACCCAAAATTTTTGAAATCTAAGGTTGGCTTTTTTTAAAGTTTTTTTTGTTACCGCTTTTTAGAGAAAAAAAATATCAAAGTAAATATCAGCCCAAAGAGGGAGGGAAACAGAAATTCTGACCGACCGACCCATGTTTTGGCACCTTAATGTAAGGGCCTTATGTACCTCATAAATGTTTATATTATTTTCATAAATTTTATAATGTTTACTCTTATCTCTATTTCTTTGATTTCTCTCTATACGATGGTCAGACTTCATGGAAACGTCCAGTGGACTGACCCTCGGTCAGATCGTCCTCATCGCCATCGGAGGCATTGTCCTGGTGGTCGTCGTCATCTTCGCCGTGAGATCGGCCGCTCAGAAGCTGCGCTCCAACAAGCTCCTGAAACAGCTCAAAGATGACATGGACAACTCCAGGGTGGATAACGAGTATAGCAATAAAGACTTCTGGGGCAAGTGAGGGGGCAGACAGGACAAGTGAGGGGGCAGGCAGGGCAAATAAACTGGTATAGAAAGTTGCGAATTTGCCTAACTCAAAGAATTAAAGACATCTGGGGCAGGTAAGAGGGCAGGAGGGCAGGCAGGCAGGGCAAATAAAAGGCATAAAAAGTTGCGAATTTGCCTAACTCAAAGAATTAAAGACATCTGGGGCAGGTAAGAGGGCAGGCAGGCAGGGCAAATAAAAGGCATAAAAAGTTGCGAATTTGCCTAACTCAAAGAATTAAAGACATCTGGGGCAGGTAAGAGGGCAGGCAGGCAGGGCAAATAAAAGGCATAAAAAGTTGCGAATTTGCCTAACTCAAAGAATTAAAGACATCTGGGGCAGGTAAGAGGGCAGGCAGGCAGGGCAAATAAAAGGCATAAAAAGTTGCGAATTTGCCTAACTCAAAGAATTAAAGACATCTGGGGCAGGTAAGAGGGCAGGCAGGCAGGGCAAATAAAAGGCATAAAAAGTTGCGAATTTACCTAACTCAAAGAATTAAAGAATTCTAGGGTAAGTGAGAGGGGCAGGCAGGCAGGCAGGACAAATAAATCTGGGCATAGAAAGTTGCAAATTTACCTAACTCACAGAATTAAACACAAGTTCTATGCGATCCTGATTGATTGAAATCAGTTTTCATGTAAGCCCCACTGCACTTTTTATACATTGTAGCTACTTGCGCCCTCTATATAACAAACAATGCCTAATTGGTGACCATTGGTCCCCCAAGATCCTCTTTTTCTTATGTTAAGTGAGAGCTGATTTGATGAGATAACCACCTGTCAGAGACCATGCAGGGAGTTCTAATCCCTCCAGGCCAAACTAGTGCAGACAGGCTGTAATGTTCTATCTTGCACACAAATGCAACTCTCAATGCAAGAGACCATCAGGTAAGGCAAGTAAATGACCCTACGAGGGCAGTATGGTGTCTCATCAATCATCAGCAAGGACAAATTCATGGACGTTTTCTTTGCTTTTGGCCACTTGTTGGGAGATAATTCTCGATCAGTTTTGATGTTTAAGGAAGAAATGAAAAGTAGAAAACAAACTTTCTTACTTTCATCATCAGGGAGAGAAAACAGATTTATTACCAATTTACATACAAATTTGCCAGCATTTAGACTGTTACTCATTTTCATTTGTAAATAAATACAAGGTGGTCATACTTCCATGTGATATTTTATCACAGGATATCCCTATATTTGACAAATTTGAACTAAGTGCTCTTTGAAATCAAACTTGATCATTTATTCATCAATTGAGATTTTAGCACAAAATGTACTTGAGAATTACTACAGTCTTTCATATATTTTTAGAAATAATTGTAAATATACATTTTTCAGTACTGTTTGTGCTTTCTTTCAAATTTGTATTTATTATTGTATTCCGTCCAAACTTGTTAGAGATAAACTAAATTTATTATTATACCACAATGATTGTATTTTCTGTTGGAATTTGAAGGCACAGTGTACTATCAATTAATTGTTATTTTATAAATTACTGTATAGTATTGTCGAAGATTAAAAAGAGTAAGCTTGGTTAATTCATGTATATTCCTATGAAATGTTTTGATATTAAAATTACATTACCGGTAGTCTATCTGTGTATATAATCACAAGATCAAGCAATCAAAACGAAAATGAGTTATATAATTTAGTTACATATTTTCATTAGTTTCATGTAGATAATATATTTTTCTATTTGTATATTGTTTGTATATCCATTGGAAATGAATGGAGTTGTTTAGACTACCATTGGTATTTTGTGAAGTGAGATTCTTTGTAAAATAGCAGAGCTTTATCTATTTACACTAGCAGTTGTAGTGTGAACCACTATTTAGGAATATTTTGAATTAATTTTGATCAAGGATTCTTGTCTATTATCACTCACTAACATATATGTTGACTTGAAGGTTTCGCAAAAAGATTAAAATTTATATTATGACCTATCAACTCAAACCTTGATATTGGAATGAGAGAGAGAAGGCGAGAGGGAGAGAGATATAAAATAAAATAAATGGAGAGAAAAACAGCCGATCAATGATGAAAAGTAATTTGTTATGATGTGTATTTTTATAATCACTAAGCTTTTTCAGTCTTGTCTTTCTGCTTGTAAAAATAGATGTATTTTGTGGTATTAAAGTTCTTTTTACTAAGTCCACTCAACACTTAATATATGAGTCTTTATTTTTAATTTTTACTGGTATACTTAATAACTATCACAACTTTCGTCCCTCTTTCCATCCCTCTTCTTCCTTCCTCCACCATCTATTTCTATTGAGAGAGCGTGTGTGTGAGAGAGAGAAAGAGAGACAGAGCCTTTCCTCCATCAATCATATACTTCACTCCCCCTCCTCCTCTTTCTCTCTCTCTCTCCGCCCTCCTCTTTCTCTCTCTCTCTCTCTCTCTCTCCGCCCTCCTCTTTCTCTCTCTCTGTGTCTCTTTCCCTCTCTCTCTCTCCCCTTTCTTTCTCTTCCTCTCTCTCTTTCTTTCTTTTTCTCTTCCTCTCTCTCTCTCTCCACTCTCTCTCTCCCTTTTTGTCTCTGTTATTCAGCAGTCTTCAGGGTTAGTTTAGAATAAGATTGATATATGGTACTTCTTCTCTTGAGTGATAAACACACACATACCTCAAATCTCAAAGATTAAGTAACTTTTTATTCCAAATAGTTTATTACATCGTCTGCACTTACCTGGATGATACTACATGTATAATTCATTTCTTTTATTGAAATTACTCCTTTTCAAATGATTATCTTTATCCAGGTCATTCTTTCATATGTTAGATCCTATCTATTCCCTTTGTAACGCGTGAAAATTACAATAGTTGAATGATATTAATATTTACCATTTACTCTGTATCCAACCGTTCTTTTCTTCTTCAAGTATTGACATTGAAATGGCATAATTTGTTTGTTTATCTTGTAATTTATGCTTGCTTTTCATCACACATTTAATGTAACAAATTTTACGTCAGACATTGGCGCCATATTTTAAAAACCAATCTTATTAAAGCAAAATACATGTATGAAAAATATAAAGTACTTGTATTTTGCACGAGGCTAAAAAATAACGAAATTAATAGGCCTATATTACATGCAACTATACAAATATTCTAAAGTCTGTGAAATTGCCGCGCGTTTATGAAGGAATCTCCTTATTGAAAAAAACTTCATTTGTCTCATCGAGCCTCTCGAGCGTGCCTTCCGTCCCAGTCTTTTTGGCAGTCTTCAATCATTACAAGAGAGGGGGTAACGAGAGTTGATGGAGGGGGTACAATGGTGTCCTCATGGTAGATACCAAAGGCCATCGGTTGTACCCTCCCTTGTTCCTCTGGTGGAGGCAGTATGACACCCTCCTTGTAGAGTTGTGGTCGTGGACCATACTGGGGAATAATGAGGTCCTCCTTGTATAACGACGGTCGGATGGCATCAGGTGGTAATATCAGCCCCTCTCGGTGGAGTTTCGGTCTGTCTTCCGCATCAGGCGGCAATATTACCCCCTCTCGATGGAGCCTTGGTCTTTGTCCCGCACCAGGGGGGAACATTACCCCCTCCTTGTAAAGTCCAGGTCGATGGAGCTGGGTCATACTGGAGTCGGATCCTTGATTTGGATGCCTCTTTGATCTCCGACGTTGCTTATCGTTTGACGAGCAACTTCGACAGCATCGACAGCATAAGCATCCAGTTGATTCACCATCGTCATCATCATCGGTATCGTAATAGTCGACGCCATCCTGACTGCTACCACGCGTACCATCCCGCGAACCTTTGTTGTATTTGCGTGACTGGCCGCAGCACTTTGCATTGACACCCCTGCAGCATCCATACCAGAGGTTCCTACAGCATCCAAGTCTCCAGATGATGTAGCCCGGTCGCCATAGCAACCAGTAGAGGATGAGCGCCAACAGGAGAGCCCCGAGGATGCCGAGCAGAATCCAGAGCCATGGGTAAGACTCGGCAAGCGTTGTCTCTTCGGACACTTGGGAGAGGGAAAGAATGAGAGTTACTGACAAAAGAAGGCAAAACGAATACATTGCCAACGGGAATCGGATGGCTCCTGTATTAAGTCTATATGGGAATGAGATAATTCAGGAGTCAAAGATTTAGAGTGAAGGTGGGAGAGAAGGAATGGATAATGTTGGAGATGCCTGAAGATCAGGAAGTGAAGTAAAGTGAGCTATTACACTAATTTATTAGAATAAAGGTATAATTAATACGATCGCAAAGACTTTCAAAACTATACCTGAGGGCCATCTGCAGGCAGTTTCAACGACAAATTCATTTCATTATGATGTGGCATTGTCATGTTCGCAATAGGTGATGCAGTACACTCTTAATGTCAGCGAGTAAATTGTGCCGAGTAAAACAAGTTGAGTAACAAAATGAGCAATTCAGTACTCAAGCTGGAGTAAGACCTTGATTTTAGTGGTACTCGTCACCCGAGTAATTTGTTACCTTCGATAAAGAGTAAATCAATGACTCAACATTGAGTACGAATTTCGTTTGTATCAATTTTGAGTAAACTACGGTTGGGTATTACGCTGCGGCAGGTGATAAATAAATCAACATTGATCTCTTACCCGAATTTACCTCGGGTGCGAGTGAAAGTTGGATCGATGGAAAGTGCAACTAGCTGTCAATATGCATGTGACACCTGTTCTACACATTTTTACATAATAGCAGCTGTATGTTCCTTCGTCTACCTAAGGAACTGGATATTTTGTACTCTTTCATTTTCCGTCATGTGCATGTCTCGTGCATGCATTCGCGCGTGCAGAAAGATGCGAAAGAACTGAGATACACTCTTAGAAAAAAGGGTGCAAAAAAGGGTGCAAAATAAGAGTTTGCACCCTTTACATAAAAATGAACCCTATTGAAGGAAAAGGGGTTAAAAAAAAGGGTGCAATATAAGATTTTGCACCCTTCCCACAAAAATGAACCCTATCGACCAAAAGAGGGTGCAAAATAAAAGTTTGCATATTGCATGCATATTCATGATTACTTTCCACGTGTTCACATAAAAATACATTTATCATGATTTGTTAAGCAAATTATGACAATGCACATCAATTTTTTGA